GTGCAGGGACTTAAAAATACTTTTAAAAAAATATTTTAAAATTTACTTAAAAATAAAACCTTAAAAAAGGGGGATATTTCTATGGTTTCAAAGTACAACCACAAAAAACTTGTTAATTACAAAGGGAAAAAGTAATTTTTAAATGGTAGGGACTGACAGATACTATTTAAAAAAAAAAATTCCAGTGTAGTTAACATAGTTATATTAGTTTCAGGTGTAAAATATAGTGATTCAACAATTCAGTATGTTACTCAGGGCTCATCAAGATAAGTGTACTCTTTAATCTCTTTCACCTATTTCCCCCAACCCCTCACCCACCTCCCCTCTGCTAACCATCCATTTGTTCTCTAGAGTCAAGAATCTGGTTTTTTATTCATTTCTCCCCCACCCCTTTGTATTGTTTCTTAAATGCCACAGATGAGTGAAATCATATGGTATTTGTCTTTCTCTGGGGGGCCTATTTCACTTAGCATAATACTCTCGAGGCCCACCCATGTTGTTGCAAATGGCAAGATTCCATTCTTTTTTATGTCTGAATAATATTCCATTGTATGTATAGTGTGTGTATATATATCCCATCTTCTTTATCCATCCATCTATCAGTGGACATTTGGGTTGCTTCCATAGTTTGGCTATTGTAAATGATGCTGTAATAAACATAGGGGTGCATATATCTTTTCGAACTAGTGTTTTTGTATTATTTGGGTAAATACCCAGCAGAGTGATCATCGATCATAGGGTAGTTCTATTTTTCATTTTTTGAGGAGCCTCCACAGATACCATGTTATTATCATGGCACTTCTGCTAAGATTCAATGAGAAAATACAGCATCACTTACATGATATTTCTGCTTAAAGTGAATAATCTGAATTTAATCATGAGGAAATGTTAGGCCAAGCTAAAAGGACATACTAAAAACAACCAGCCTATAATCTTCAAAAATGTCAAAGTCATGGCAATCAAGGAAAGGCTGAGGAGTTTCTTAGAGATTCCTTGTTCCAGAGTGAAAAAACAGCAGTTTCTTTATCCAGTTTTCAGTTTCTTAAAAAAAAACAAAACACCACCATGTGAGTTTTTCAATGAGATTTTCTAAATAAATATGGTTCTTAAATGTTCAAGATCTCTGGAATTTGGTGACAAAATAAATCACCAAAATGTTATAACTTTAAGAAAGTTAAATGTCCTACTTAAATGGAGACTTACATAGGGGTGCCTGGGTGGCTCAGTTGGTTAGGCATCTAACTCTTGATTTTAGCTCAGGTCTTGATCTCAGGTCAGGAGTTCAAGACCCATGCTACGCTGAGGGTAGAGCCTACTTAAAAAAATAAAACTTATATATTGAGGCAGATCTAATAGAAAATTAAAAGTTGTATATATCCAACAAATGTTAATAGCTACTCCTTGGGAAATAATGGGGAAAGAGTTATTTATTCCATTAAATTCTACAGTAGAGGCAGATCATATGTTTTACAGCTTTTATATGCAATATTTCTTCTCAGAAGATTAGGCTGTATTAGGAATAAAAAGGGAAAATTGCTGGCTAAAAGTTTCAAGTTGCCCCTTCCATATAAAAAACTTGCATTTTGAGGATACCAGCAGAAACATTTATAGAAATTTCTAATTCTGTGGATTTATCCTATTTCTCCAATTTTTATTCAATTTTTAATCCTTGACACTGAAATAGATAAGAAGGATAGAGCAAAACAAAACAAAACAAAACAAAACAAAACCAACAAAGAGCTATTTGAAGATTTGCTGATCAGTTATTAGCTAATGTTTGAATTTAGAATTTTCTTCCTTTTCTAAGGAAGCTAAATCTGCCTTTCTTCTTCCATATGGTTATCAGCTCAGCAATCATCTCCTCAGGCCAGGTGGCTACCAATATGTGTTCAGAGAGAATCATTTTGTATAAGCCTACCCTTGGAGAGAATAATTTGTTCTTCCTGCTTGCAGAAATTTATTTTTGGCAGCAGATTCTGCCTCCTCATTACTTTCCTCCTTCTCATCTACTGGGATTAACCCATTACATTTTATGCTTTCTACCCCTATTGCTGTAGTTCAGTCATACATATTGGAATTTCCTTATAATATCATCCTCAGGTTTCTTAAATTCTAGAAATCATCATTTCTAACTCCTTCCTTTTACAAATGAGGACACCTGGATCTGTTGAGGTTCAGTAGCTTGCTTTTGGTCATGTGACCACTAAAATTTTCTTTTGTTTTACTTATTTATTTGAGGCAGAGGAAGAGGGAAAGGCCTACTCCCTGCTGAGTGGGGCGCCTGATGTGGGGTTCCATCCAAGGACCCTAGGATCATGATCTGAGCCAAAGGCAGATGCTTAGACAACTGAGCCACCCAGAAACCGCTGGCCATGTGACCATTAAATGAAAGATCCAGCATTGGAACCCAACTCTCTTGAGCATTGTGTAGTGTTCTTTCCTCTATAGAACATGGTTCTGTATTATGAAATTTGCCTTCCTTTTAAGTGGAAAGCACCTCATTGTGCCCTTTGAAGCTTCATTCTTTGAATGTAGTCTAAGACAAGTAGTGTAGTATAATGTAAAGTTTGGAGAAGACATAGTGAATGAAGAACACATGACAATTGATAAGCTTAGGTACACTTGAAGGTCAGTGAATACAGCAACTTTGAAAGTTTTGAAGAACTTAACTAACTCTGATCATTCTCTTCTGTCATTCACTGTATACTTTAAGAATTGGAAATCTAGTATGTAAAAGTCACCAGATAAATCTTTAAACCCAGTGAAGCAAAATGGTTTATATTGGAATCTAATCAAATAAATGAGGAAACTTCTTATACTGGAATAAGAATTTTAGTAACTTTTGATTGGGAAGTATTGATCAGAAAAGAAAAATGTAGTATAGGAAAAGAAAAGTCATTAAGAAAAAAAGTCATTGAGGATAATTAAGTGGTTAAATTGTTAAATTCAGGAGAAACTTACAAACCAGCTCTACTTGAGAGATGAAACAGACCTTGTACAGGCAAAGAGATACAATAAGAAGAGAAAATATGCAGAAGTGAGGAAATTTTGGGATTTTTTTTAAAACTTAAGAGTGAGGGTAGTTAGGTACACAGAGGGGATCTAAAAATGGAGAATTAAGGTCTTGGGAAAAGCACCATATGATACATTCCACTCCTGATAGCTCTGTTTTCTACACTTCCCATTAGCAATGCGTGAAGGTTCTACCTTCTTTACATCCTTGACAACACTTAAGATTTTTCTATTTTTAAAAATTTTTATTTGTTTTTTAAATTTCTTTTCAGTGTTCCAGCATTCATTGTTTATGCACTACACCCAGTGCTCCATGCAATACGTGCCCTCCATAATACCCACCACCAGGCTCACCCAACCTCCCGCCCCTCACCCCTCCAAAATTGTTTTTGGATTGTTTTTCAGGGTCCACAGTCTCTCATGGTTCATCTCCCCATCCAATAAAATTATAACCATACAACATAAGCAACAAAAGCAAAAGTAAATAAGTGGGAATACCTGAAGCTAAAAGGTTTCTGCACAAAAAAAGAGGCAAAAAACAAAATGAAAAGGAAACCTGCAGAATAGGAGGAAATACTTGCAAATCATATATCTGATAAGGGATTAATCAAAATATATAAGGAACTCATACAACTAGACAGAAAAAAAAAGACATTAAAAAATGGGCAAAGAAACTGAATAGATGTATTTCCAAAGACATGCAGATGACCAAAAGGTGCATGAAAAGATACTCAACATCACTAACAATTAGAGAAATGCAAATCAAAACCACAATGAAATATCATGTCACACCTGTCAGAATGGCTAGTGTCAAAAACACAAGAGATAATAAGCGTTGGCAAGGATGTGGAAAAAAGGGAACCCTTGTGCACTGTTGGTGGGAATGTAAATTGGTATAACCACTAGGAAAAACATTATGGAGGTTCCTCAAAACATTAAAAATAGAATTGCCATATTATCTAGCAATTCCACTTCTGAGTATCTAATGGAAAGAAATGAAATCACTATCTCGAAGAGATATCTGTACCATCATGTTCATAGCAGAATTATTCATGATAGTCAAGATATGAAAAAACCCAAGTGTCCATCAATGAATGAATGGATAAAGAAAATGTGATTCCTACACACACACACACACACATACACACACAGGAATATCATTCCATCATGAAAAAGATGGAGTGCTGCCATGAATGGATCTTGAAGCCATTATGCTGAGTGAAATCAGAGAGAGAAAGACAAATATTATATGATATTATTTACATACTGAATCTAAAAAAGCCAAACTCGGAGTATAAAATGGTGGTTCTTAGGGGTTGGGGGTAGGGGAGATGGGAGAATGCTGATCAAAGGGTATAAACATCTTTTTCTAAAAAAGGTTTTTAAAAATTTATTTGAGAGAGAGAGCATGCATGCAAGGAGGGGGAGAGGCAAAGGGAGAGGGAAAGAATCTCAAGCAGACTCCATACTGAGTGCAGTGCCCAACCTGGAGCTCATTCCTATGACACTGAGATCACGACCTGAGCAAAAACCAAGAGCTGGATGCTTAACTGACTGAGCCAGGCAGGTGTCCCAAAGGGCATAAACTTTTATTAAAAGATGAATATGTTCTGTGGATCTAATATACAGCATGGTGATTATACTGTATTATATACTTAAAAGTTGCTAAGAGAGTAGATCTTAAACGTTCTCAGTACAAAAAAGAAATGGTAATCGTGAAGTGACAGAGGTGTTAATGCCACGGCGGTAATCATTTTGCAGTATATAAATGTATCAAGTCAACACACTGTACACCTTAAACTTACACAATGTTCTATGTTAGTTATATCTCAATAAAGCTGAAAAAAAAAAAGATAGCCATACTAATAGGTGTGAAGTGGTGTCTTGTGGTTTCAGAACCAGAGTTTTAACTGTATATGTCATAGTACTGGAAAATTTGAAGCCAAGTTGTTGCCACAGCTTTAATAAGAAAATCCTTATCTTTTTACCTTTCTTCATAGATTCTTTTTCCATACCCTCCTTGTATGTGTACAAGACTTCATCAACTTCCTTCAGATCCAGGAAGCCTGAGCCATCATTGTCCCACTTCTGAAACACAGCTTCTAGGAGAAGTTCCCGTCGGGCTCTGGAAACATTTTGTCTAGCCTAGAATAGAAACAGGATAACAGCAATGTCCACAACTATGGAAAGAATCTAGATGTCCAACAATAGATGAATGGATAAAGAAGATGTGGTATATATATACAATGGAAAACTGTGCAACCATCAAAAAACCTAAATCTTGCCATTTGCAATGACATGGATGGAACTAGAAGGTATTATGCTGGGCGAAATCAATCAGAGAAAGACAATTATCATATGATCTCTCTGATATGAGGAATTTGAGAGGCAGGGTGAGGGGTTGTGGGAGGTAGAGAGGGAAAAAATGAAACAAGATGGGATAGGGAGGGAGACAAACCATCAGAGACTCTTAATCTCACAGAACAAACAGGGTTGCTGCGCGGTGGGGTGCTAGGGATAGGGTGCCTGCGTTATGGACATTGGGGAGGGTAGGTGCTGTGATGAGTGCTGTGAAATGTGTAAGCCTGATGATTCACAGACCTGTACCCCTGAGGCAAATAATACATTATATGTTAATTAAAAAAAAGAAACAGGATAACAAAGCACAGGACACACTCTCCATCGTGCAAGCCTCCATCCTATGGTTATTCCCTCAAAAGTGCTGCACTATTTCTAAAAACAGCTTTATAAAAAAAAGCTGGGACTAAACATGATAGAATGGGAAATTGAAGCATTTAATTTTTTTTAGAAGATTTTATTTATTTGAGAGAGGAGAGAACGTGAGGAAGGGGGAGAGAGAGAGAGAGAGAGAGAGAGAGCAGGAGGAGCAGCAGAGGGAGAGGAAGAAGCAGACTCCCCCCACCCAACAGGGATCCTGATCCCTGATCGAGCAGGGCTCCATCCCAGGAGCCTGAAATCATAACCTGAGCCAAAGGCAAATGTAAAGCATTTAACTTGAATCCTCTAAATACCGTTTCTCTGTTTCATTCCTAGAACAAAAACACAAAACACAATAAAACAAAAAACAGGCATTCTCTGCATTGGACTAAAGCACATTAACTTAGGAAAGGGGCTACACTCCTTAAGAAACTTTGATTCATTCCTCTCCACTCCCTTGCTGGTCGTTCAGGAATGTGATAAACATACGGCATGCTCTACCTGGCTTCTTGGTGGGATATGCAGGGTGAAGGCAGTGTTCAAACAATGAAAAATGACTATGTTCAAAAATTATTTTTTGTAATTTATAATTTATAATTTAGCATCGATCTAACTTGACATTGATTTTATTTACCTTTCAGATTTTTTACCAGGTTAATTACATCAGTCAGATAGTAACTAAATTATTATCCAGATAGATTTAATTGCTAAACGAAAGCGAATATATAGCATTTGGTTAAATGGGGGAATTGCAACTGAGGAGGCAAAAGGGATATGAACTCTAGAATTAGGTTGAGAAGACTCGTAAGGCTGCTGAGATGAGTGAATATGCCTGGTAATGTAAGCTACATACTTCATAGAAGGGCACATAAGTTGTTTATATCAGCTAATGTGTATGCACCTATCACTCAACTATGTAGTAAGTTCTTAGGGAATATGTATCACCTGGATTCACATGAATAAAAAATACATGTACAAATCACAATTGTACCCCTAGGTATGTGCATTAGTAAATGAATTCACACAGCAGTGTGCATACAAATGCATTTTTTGCATATACACATATCTGCTCCTCAGAATCTGCTCTTCAAGCTTCAGAGGAGGAAAAAGAAAACTGCAATAAAAGATCTCCTGCCACCAGTGATCATGTTATTATTAGGGGAATGAATTCTCTGCAGTGTGATCTCGGAACATTTGACCATAAAATTAAATACTTAATGGCTATGCTCATTGAAATAAAGCAATTAGCTTGATCATAAACTTTTTTTTTTTAAACAAACTTTATTTCTTTTTTATGTAGACTTCACACCCCTTGTGGAGCACAATGCAGGGCTTGAATGCACGACCCTGAGATCAAGACCTGAGTTGAAATCAAGAGTCAGATGCTCAATCAGCTGAGCCACCAACGACCTCTTGGTTATACATTTTTAAAGGACCACATTAGGAGCAACTGAGGTTGAGAGGTTTACTAATAATATGACCCCACCTGTTTTATTGATAAACAATATTACTCACCTGTTCTAAGCCACTTATTTTCTCTTCTTTTGTTTCAACATAGCCTCTCTTAAAAAAGGATGTGAGGGTCTCACTGACACTCAAGGGGGTATCTTCACCAACAAATGTCTCCAGAAGTTGCACAAACTGGAGCAGATTTAAGGAAACTCCATTGAAAGCACTTCTACCTTTTATGTCCTTGTAAGACTGAATACTTCTGATAATTGAGTGTAGGTCTGTAAAGCAGGAAACATACACGAAACAGTAAAGTGGACAATTTCTTAAAGCTTAGAGGAAAATACACAAATACTTATTGTAATAAACACTGCTACTCTTTTCCTGTCAGAAACCCATGCTCCCTTCATTAGGAAAACATCTTTTCTCCACTGTCAGCTTATATTTTTATTTTCATTTCACAGGTATCAATAGTTCATTTTTATTGCTGAGTAATATTCCATTTATAAATATATCACAGTTTTTTATTTATTCTCGTACTGATAGATACCTGGAATGTTTCCAGAAAGTTCAGGCTATTATGGATATACCTGGTTTACATATTCTTACATATGTTTTGTTGTTGTCATTGTAAACATGCTTTTAACTCTATTGGATAAATAACTGGGGTTGGAAATTCTGGATCATGGGTAAATATGTGTTTGGTTTTACAATAAACACACAGATATTTTCTGAAGTAACTGTAACATTTTAAACTCCCACCAACAATTCTGAAAACTTCCAGTTTCTCCACAATCTTGCCAAGAGTCAGTGTTGTCAGTCTTTTTCATTTTAGCCATTCGGGTCATATGTAGTGGTTTCTCATCATAATGTTAGTCTGTTTTTCATGATGACTAATGACATTGCACACTTCTTCATGTGTTCATTGCTCATTCTTGTATGTTTTATTTGTGAAGCATCTATTAACATGTTCTACTAATTTATACTATGTTGTTTTTATTTTTATTTTTGAGTTGTTGAAGATCTTAATATTTTCTGGATAGCAGTCCTTTGTCAGGTACAAATTTTACAAATAGTCCAAGTATTTTTTCCATATCTTTGGTTTATATACATACTTCTTTAATGACATGTTTTAATAAACAAAAGTTTTATTTGATGACATCTAGTTTGTCATCTTATTCTTTAGGTATTGTTTTTTTTTTTTATGTTTCAAGTTTCTATTTAAATTCCAGTTAGTTAAGATAAAGTGTGATAATAGTTTCAGGTGTACAATATAGTGATTCAGTACTTCCATACATCACCCTGTGCTCACCACAAGTGCCCTCTTTAACCCCCATCACCTTTTAACCACCCCATCTCTGCTCTGTTAACCATCAGTTTGTTCTCTATAATTTAGAGTCTGTTCCTCTCTCTCTTTCTCATTTCTTCTCCTTTATTTTGTTTCTTGAATTCCACATATGAGTGAAATCATATATTAGTCTTTTTCTGACTTACTTCACTTAGCATAATATATATTAGCTCCATTCACTTTGTTGCAAAGGACAGGATCTCATCCTTTTTTATGATGGAGTAATATTCCGTGATATATATTTTATATATCTTTGTAATATATATCTTTTTTATGTAATACATTATATGTAATGAATCTTATATGTAATATTATATATTATATGTATATATTATATGTAATATATATTATATGTAATTATGTGTGCATGTATATATTACAACCTCTTTTCTTTTTTTTTTAAGATTTTATTTATTTATTTGACAGACATAGATCACAAGTAGGCAGAGAAAGGCAGGCAGAGAGAGAGGAGGGGAAGCAGGCTCCCCAATGAGCAGAAAGCCCGATGTGGGGCTCGATCCCAGGAGCCTGGGATCATGACCTGAGCCGAAGGCAGTGGCTTTAACCCACTGAACCACCCAGATGCCCCCTCTTTTCCTTCTTTTAAAGAGACCTTATTTATTTGGGAGAGAGCGGGAACTCAAGTTGGGGGAGGGGCAGTGGGCGAGGCAGAGACAGGCAGACTCCCCGCTGAGCAGGGGGCCAGACTTAAACCGACTGATACACCCAGGCACCCCTACACTACACCCAGATACCTTACACCCCTACACTACATTTTCCTTATCGATTCATCAGTCGATGGACATTTGGGCTGTCCCCATAATTTGGCTATTGTTGTTAATGTTGCTATAAACATCGAGATGCATGTATCCCTTTGAATTAGTATTTTTGAATTCTTTGAGTAAATACCCAGTAGTGCAGTTGCCAGATGGTAGGGTAGTTCTATTTTTAACTCTTTGAGGAGCCTCCATACTGTTCTCCACAGTGGCTGTACCAGTTTGCATTCCCACCAACAGTGTAAGAAGGTTCCCCTTTCCCTGTATCCTCACCAACACCTGGTATGTCCTGTGTTGTTAATTGTAGCCATTCTGACAGGTGTGTCATGGTATTTCACTGTAGTTTTGATTTGTATTTCCCTGATGAGGAGTGACGTTGAGCATCTTTTCCTGTCTCTGTTAGCCATCTGTATGTCTTCTTTGGAGAAATGTCTATTTATGTCTTCTGCCCATTTCTTAACTGGGTTATTTACAGAAGGTGGGTAGCGAGTTTGATAAGTTCCTTATAGATTTAGATGAATCCGGTGGCACTGAGCATCCCCCACCTTTGCTACAAGACCATGTGATATAGGTCTGGCCAGTGATTTCCGCAGGACAGCAGTGTAATCTCCTATATGTAGTGAGAATGAGCCCCAGAACTTTTGGGGGAACTACTGGGGACCAATCACTCTTTTAGTATTCTGATTCCTGAACATAGGATATAGACTTAGCGACACCCTTATGGACATCTCTACCACAACATGGAGAAAATGACCTGAAACTGAAAGTTACATAGAGAGGTACAGGGCTGAGAGGCAGAGACAGTGTCTCATTGCTATTATTGAGCCCTTGTATTCATTTGTGCCTGAAGCCAGCTGTGGTCTGGATTTGACAGTTAAATAAATCTATAGATACTACTGCAACATCTCCCCCAAAGGGTATTGACTAATATATTTATCTCGAAGCTCAATCTTATAATTCAAAGCATATTTCACAAAATATCAGCCCAGAGACTTATGTTTGATTTATTCACCTATTCAATCATTCATGCCCTCATGCCTTCCATATGAGATCTGACTTGATCTAAAAATAATCACACATGCAGTTTTTCAAAATGGTAAAGCAAAACTGAAATAAAGACGTAAGACCAAGAGAAGAAGAACATGAACTAGCAGGCTACAGGAGCTTGACCAATGCTGTGCAGTTTTACCAAAATATTTTGAGGATAGAAAGTTTGTTATCTGACCAAGGCTTAAATGAGAAAAAAATTTGCAGATAGGAAGAAAATAATCCTAATATAAATAGTTCTACTTCTTGTTGATGAAAGGTAAAATGATAAAAGAACATTGCAGTAAAATATGAGCTCTTGTTGTAACAATCATTGTTAAATACATGGTTTTTCTCAGAGCTAAAAGCTACTCTTTGCTCTCTCTGTTAAGTCAGTCTTTCTTTATAAGTCTTCAAAAACGAGATAGATTCAAACCAGTCTCACATATTGAGTTATGAAACTACCAGGGAGAGGAATCGCTGGAATGATTTCTATTGAGTTCTAATATCTGAGACCTGATTCTCTTTGTGTACCTGGATCATAGCTTCAAAAGAGTTATAGGGCCATGTGACGGCAAAAACAAATTGTATCCTAATGCATACATTTTAAAGCAGAAAAGCACATGCCTACAGGTACACTACCACCAAAAACATTCATCTTGTACATGTTTAGATCCATCAGCTCAGGGATAAAATAATGCAAAGATCACCCTGCCATTGTGTCTTAGCTAAGTTCAGTCTTGATCATGGGGCACCACAGTAAATTAAATTCATCAGTTGGACTGCCGTCTAGTTTTCCTAGTTTGGTTGCTAACCCGTACCTGTGAACCTGGAGTCACTGAGGAGTAAGTGTGCCTGTTCCTCATCTTCACATTTGATATTATTCATCTTCCAGTTACAAGTCGAAAGTTCACCTACAAAATATACATTCCATAACATAGACAATTTAATTTCACTTTCATAATGTCTTTGTTCTAGAGTATAAATGAAAGGGGGATTAAATGAGGAGTCACCTGACCATGACTTTCCTTCTATTTCTTGGGATTTATGACAGGATGGATCTTTCTGATTTTCCTTTTTTGTAGTTTCTAAAAGGTACAAAAGAAAGTGGCTATAATGAACTGGAATTTAAATAAAAACTTGAAAGAAAAAAAGAAAACGGCTATAAATTGGATATTATATATTCTATGATACAGTCCTAAATTAATGAACGAGAAATATGCCTTGCATACAGAACACCAAAAACATTCTGTCAGGTTATTTCCCATCTATGTTACGTCACATTCAACCACAAAGATATCACTTAATAACTTTACTTGTTGAGAGCAGCTCTACGATGAAAGCTATTTGTTGTACACAAATATGACCACTCAGCATGAGGGCTACATTTCCTAAACTCTGTCACAGCTAGATGTCACCAAATGCCTAAATTCTGACCAATGTGATGTGTGGGCAAGTGATGTAATGCCTATCTCTTCTCCTTCCTCCTTACCCTCTTTTTTTTTTTTAAGATTTTATTTCTTTATTTAACAGAGAGAGAGAGAGAGCGAGCACAAGTAGGCAGAGCAGCAGGCAAAGGAAGAGGGAGAAGCAGACTCCCCTGCTGAGCAACGAGCTCAATGCGGGGTTCGATCCCAGGACCATGAGATCATGACCTGAGCCGAAGGTAGATGCTTAAGTGACTGAGCCACTCAGGTGCCCCTTCTCCTTACCTTCTGCTCTGAATCTGGATGTGGTAGTGAGCCATCCAGGACTATGTGGTTAGAGGAGACACAAGATAGAACTTGAGCCTCTGCTGATTTCAGGGGACTGAGCTATCATATTAGTTTTAACTTTCTTATATCAGAAGGAAAGAAACTCCTACGTTGTTTAGACATTTCTATTTTGTTTTGGTTTTATTTTTTTAGACACTGTCATTTTGTTTGTTTGCTTGTTTTAAAGATTTTTTTTATTTATTGGAGAGAGGGAGAGGGAGAGAGAGCCCATGAGCGGGGGGTAGAGGCCTAGGGAGAGGGAGAAGCAGACTCCCCACTGAGCTGGCAGCCTGGGGTGGGACTCAATCCCAGTACCTGGAGATCATGACCTGAGCCGAAGGCAGAGGCTTAACCATCTGAGCCACCCAGGCATCCCTAGACACTGTCATTTTGGATCACTGTTACACTTAACAAAATTAAGTCCTTAACTAATAATATCTGATTGAATAGAATGTCACAATTTTTCTAAGTAGTATGTAAGGAGAGCCAAAAATTAACAGCCCAATTTTATGAAGAACCAAACATAATGCTGAAAAACGAGATGTTTCCAATTAGTTACTGATAATGTAGAATCTAGAACATAGGTTACTCATGACTTAGGAGTTTTGAATAAGGATTTTCTTTGGGACTGTGGGACTTTAAAATTAAAAAGCAGATAAAGCTTCTGGAATGTTGCAATGGCATGATTGACAGGGTTTGGGGGCTATGTCTTTCCTGTACATGTAAACTCTTTCGGAACAGCTGAGGTTAGAGGATGAGCAGGAGTTGGGTTTTGAGCCACAGAGTTTCAGATACCCTCCACACACGCCTCTGCCCTATTTCACTACACATTCTTTTCTGCGAAACACATTCAGTGGTTGAGTGTTAAGTACTGTGGTTGAAAGAAAGGACCTGATCGCCACCATCCACCCTCCTTCTCTCTCCGTGTGACTCTCACAACAGCAGGGGCCATAGGCAGGAAGGTTGTCTCTGGTTCCTCTCACCGGGGAAATTAGTTGGTGACCTGGTGGACTTCTTACAGCCTGGTTTCTCTGATAAAATAAAGTTGCTATAGGCACCTCCCCCCCCCAATTAAGTTAAACTAAATTAAAGACATTTATGCTTAACTGAAGTCTTAAGTGGTATTGAGACTGGCTCTCTAAGAAGTTAGAATTTTTCAACAAAAAGGCATACATTGGCATAGGCCATTCAAAGGAAAAGTCTTCTGCAGAATAAATATTTGAAATGCAGGAGTTTTCTGTCTTAAATATAACTTTCAGAAACTTCTCTAGAACATACATCTTAAATAACTGAAAAATGCAAGATCCATTTTATAGTTGAAGTTAAAGACATTTTAAAAAGCTGCTTCTAGGGCGCCTGGGTGGCTCAGTGGGTTAAGCCGCTGCCTTCGGCTCAGGTCATGATCTCAGGGTCCTGGGATCGAGTCCCACATCGGGCTCTCTGCTCAGCAGGGAGCCTGCTTCCCTCTCTCTCTCTGCCTGCTTCTCTGTCTACTTGTGATCTCTCTCTGTTAAATAAATAAATAAAATCTTAAAAAAAAAAAGCGGCTTCTAGGGGTGCCTGGATGGCTCAGTGAGTTAAGCTTCTGTCTTCAGCCTAGGTCATGATCTCAGGGTCCTGGGATTGAGCCCCACATCAGGCTCTCTGTTCAGCAGGGAGCCTCCTCCCCGCCCCCCACCGCCCCCCGCCGCCTGCTTCTCTGCCTACTGGTGACCTCTCTATCAAATAAACAAATAAAATCTTAAAAAAAAAAAGTGGCTCTAATATGAGACACCATACTTAAAATGAAAGGGCTTCTGGGGCCCCCAGGTGGCTCAGTCAGTTGAGAGACTGATTCTTGTTTTTGGCTCAAGTCATGATCTCAGGGTCCTGGGATTGGGCCCTGCATCAGGCTCTGTGCTCAGCACAGAGTTTGCTTGTCCCTGTCCCTCTGTTCCTCTTCCTGCCTTCTCTCTGTCTCTCTCTCAAATAAATAAATAGATAAAGTCTTAAAAAAAAAAAAAACAAAACAAAACCGAAAACCAAAACCGATAGGGCTTCTACTGCCTTTTCGGGAGTCTAGTGAAATTTTTTATATGTAACATCACCAGATGGCTTCCTTCTGAATGGGCTTCCTGTGCAAAAGGAATTCTAGTTAATTGACAATAGAAACATTCTGGTTTGCATTTAATTGATTGTTCAAGGCCTAGACGCATGTTGCAGGGCAACATATTTAAGGTCTGTATGATCTGGTATGCCAGAAAAGATCCTAACCGAAATGAGTATTTTCTGAAAAGACTTCTAACAATCACTCCACAAAACATGGAGCTAATGTCATAGGTGAACTGAGTTACTACCTGACAGACGATGTCTTCTTCTTGATGTCGGGACTTCCTCTTGCAGTTCAGGATTCACAAACAGTCCTTCATATATTTTCCCCTGAGTCCTCTCTTTCTGTGGGGAGATTTTAGTGTGCTCATAGGAAGTAGTCTCCCTAGATATATTACTTTCTCTGAAGGTACTCCCTCCTTCTGATTGTGAAGCTGAACCCTGTTGTCTTTCTGGAATTCCCCCTCTGGGTGGTTCTTGTTCTGCCGTTGACCCTTTGTGCGATCCTTGCCCTGCTACTGACTCTCTGTGTGATCCTGGTTCTGAGGTTAACCCTTCCTCTTGCCCTTGTGCTGATACTGATTCTCTGTGGAGTCCTCGTTCTGTAGCTGACTCCATGTTGACTCCTTGTTCTGACACGCGTTCTGGTGGCCCTTGTTCTATTACTGAGTCATCATGTGGTCTTTGTTCTATTATTAACTCTCTACTTGATCCTTGTTCTGGAGTTGACCCTGTATGGGTTTCTTGTTCTGTTACTGATTTTCTGTGCAGTCCTTTTTCTCTACTTGACTCTCCGTCTTGTTCTCGTCCTTCCATTGAAATTCTGCTTGGTTCTTGTTCTGCAGCCGTCCTTCTCTGCTCTTCTGGCGGTGTTGACTCACTGGGTTCATCATGTTTCTGTTGATCTTCTGGAGTTTCGAATGATTTTCTTTGCATTTTGCTGGCATGGTTTTCAGAAAGTAATGCATTCACCTCTAAGAGAACTTTGTCCAAGTCTTCATAAATATGTTTCTGATTATCCATGTCTCCCCAGAACTCAGACAAATCTATCTCTTCAAATTCAATGAATGGCCCTAATGCAGAAAAAAAAATTTTTTCCTTAAATAATCGATGTTAGAATAAAGGATCAGAACTAGTAAATTAATGCAAAACAGCGTTGATCATCATAACTGTAACATGGGCCTATGGATTTAAATAAATAACAGTTACCTTTCCCTACAACACAATAAAAGCAAAAAGATATTCTAGGCAACATAAAAGATGCTCACTACTGTAAGTTAGAAATTATCCCTTCCTAAAAGGTGTGGCTTTGGAAATAAGCATGATTCTTCCTTTCCTAGTTGGAGAGTTGCTTAGACTGCCAAAACAGTAGAATTTAACCACTACTTTTGGTCCTCCAACAATAAGCCTAGTATAGGGATGAGGAAGAGGACACATGTCTTCCACCTCAAATACTTTTTTCAGTATCTACAGTATCAAAATAAAAGCAAGTCTCTGTCACTCACTGGGCTATGCTTTCCTGATATTCACCCCCCCCTTATTCTCTCCCTTTCTTTCTTCTTTATTCCTCAATTCTTTTCCTCCCAACTTATGTGAACACCTGTTTCAGAATTCTAGGGAAAGACTGGATGGCATTCACCAGAATCCACTCAAACAATAAAACAACAACAAAAACAAAGCAATTCTGGTGTCCAGGACTACTCTATATCACCCCCAGATTTTTAAGTATCCAACTATTTTCACAGAGAACTAAAATATTGACATTTTTTTGAAAACCCATCCATTCAAAGACTTTCTCTTCAAAACATAAAAATGGGGCACCTGGTGGCTCAGTTGTTTAAACATCTGGCTCTTGATTTTGGCTCAGCTCATAATCTCAGAGTTTTGAGATCAAGTGCCACATTAGGCTCTGTGCTGGATATGGAGCCTGCTTAAGATTTTCTCTCTCCCCCTCTCCCGTTGCCCCTCCCCACTTCCTCCCTCTCAAAAGAAAAAAATAAATAAAAATAAAAACAAAACCCATAATCCTACTTGTTTGGGTAGTAATGTAAAAAAGATTCTTTACTGTGTAATTTCAGTAAAGCCAGACAAGTAAAAATGCTTGGGAAAAGGAAACATTTTTCTCAGAAATTTTAGAATTCTGAGTTGGACATTAAAACTGGACTTACCATTATCAACTTAATTTCCAAAACATTCAGATTGCCACTCGAGCACCTCTTCATTTGAATGAACTTAAAATTGAGTTCTAACTTGACCACTTTTAGTATAGGACTATAGAGAAAAAGACATCTAGTTGTGATGAAGAGTGAATCTTGTGGGGAATGAACAGTTAGATTAGCTATCATGATCTAAGGGAGATGTCCTGTGAAGGGATTCCATGGGAATACAATGACTTTTATCAGATGAGTATACTATGTCATTCTAGCTTGAGCATCTCCTTCTGAATGGCACTTACATTGTCTTGGGTTTCGCAGCAAACTTCTAAGCGTTTTTGAACTTTGGTCATAGAATGTTTCCAGCAAGACCAATGTCCTCTGCCGATCCAAAAACCCTACCTAAGCAGAAAGTTAGCAGTTAGTTGATACAGGAGATTAGAGATTTTTATGTAAATGAATACGGTTTAGTGAAGCTTTTATCATCGCCACCGGTACCATCATTATGTAAATAAAAGATACAGAGTCAAAAATCAGGAGAGCTATATCTTGCCTTTAGGCTTATTCTCTACTTCCCCATCCTGTGACATGTGTAAATGCCCTGCACTTAATAGATGCTTAACAATAGTCACTGACTTAATTGCTAAAGCCAATGTATAATGCTCAGTTCTTATCCAATTAGACCTGAGTACGGCACTTAACCACTCCTAACTTGTTCTTTTTTGCATCATTTCTGAGAAACATTTTAACTACAGAAAAATAGAGAAAATGATAAAACTAACACTTGTGTTCCCAACACCCAGAGATGATGATTGTTACTATTTTGGGTATGTACTTTAAAAACATTTAATTGATATCATAGTACAATATGTACTTCTTAAAGTTCCTTTTGTTTACTCAACATTGAGATCAACTCATATATGTGAAGAGATATATTTTGTTCCTTTTTTGCTGCTTGTTCTGTAATTAAAAATTTTTTTTTTTAGATTTATTTATTTATTTGAGAGGGAGGAGCAAAGGGAGAGGGAGAGAATCCTCAAACAGACTCCCTGCCCAGTATGCAGCATTGTCCTAGGACCCTGAGATCATGACCTGAGTGGAAATCAAGAGTTGTCTGCTTCACCATCTGAGCCACCCAGGTACCCTCAAAACACTGTAATTTTTTTCTAATTTTTTAATAAACATATAATATATTATTAGTCCCAGGGGTACAGGTCTGTGAATCGCCAGGTTTACACACTTCACAGCACTCACCATAGCACTTACCCTCCCCAATGTCCATAAAAAACACTGTAAACTTTTTAAAAGTTCCTTTATTGATGGGCATTTAGATTATTTCCAGTGTTTAGATACTAAAATAATGCTGCAGTGGATATACTTATACACATTCCTTGAATACATGTATGAACATTTCTGTGGTTAAGTAATTAAAAGTGTTCATTTTTATCATGTTCAGTTAGCCGGCATATAGGATATCATTTATTTGTCAGAGATAGAGAGAGAAAGGGAGAGCACAAGCAGAGGGAGCAGCAGGCAGCGGGAGAAGCAGGGTCCCAGCTGAGCAGGGAGTCTGATGCGGGACTCAATCCCAGGACTCCAGGAACATGACCTGAGCCGAAGGCAGATGCCCAACCAACTGAGCCACACAGGCACCCTTACTATGAACATTTTCAGTTTTAGTAGTTATTGCCAAATTGTTCCACAAAATACCTATACTTCTCACCATTATTGAATGAGAATATCATTTCTCCATATCATGCCAATACTTGATACTATTACAGTTCATGATTTTTTCCAATCTGATAGGTTAAAAATAGTATCTAGTTATTTTAACTTGCATTTCCCTGATAATTAGTGAGATTAAATATATTTTCATATATTTACTGTGTATTTATGTTTCCTCATCTATGGAAGGCTTTTTTTAATGTCCTTTTCCTTTCTTCTGTTGTGGAAAGTTGTCTATTTCTTATCAATTTGTAAATATTTTTGAGAGAGAGAGCATGAGAGGAGAGAGGTCAGTGGGAGAAGCAGACTCCCTGCCCAGCAGGGAGCCTGACGTGGGACTCCATCCCAGGACTCCAGGATCATGACCTGAGCCAAAGGCAGTCGCGTAACCAACTGAGCCACCCAGGTGCTCCAATTTGTAAATTTTTGATAATGATCATTCTGTTATCTATATAGCAAATACTCTTTCCAAGTTTAATCTCTTCTTTTTTCATTTAACTTTTGGTGAGTTTAACTAGATCAATGTTTTTAATTTTGAAGTAGCCAAATATATCGATTATTTCTTGAATGGTTTATGCTTACTAGAGGTATTCTCTAAGAAATATTACCTATACCAAGGTCAAAAGTCATCCTCTATACTCTATATGTGTTCTAAAACTTTTATAATTTTGTTTTCCACATTCAGGTCTTTGATTAGATAGGACATATTTTTGCACATTATTGAGGCTCTAACCTAATTTTAATTTTTTCCCAATTGTCCCAACTTAGCATTTATTGATTAGTCTCTTATCACTGAATTATTTGCTACCTGTGCTATGCACTAAATCCTCACATACTCATAAATCTGATGCCAGGCCAAATATTGTTAATATAACTTTATTTCTAAAAAAAGAGGGAAATTGGGGCACCTGGGTGGCTCAGTTGGTTAAGCATCTAAGTCTTGATTTCAGCTCAGGTCATGATCTCAGGGTCATGGGATTAAATCCCATGACTGGCTCCATGCTCAGTGGATTTTCTCCCTCTTCCTCTGCTTATTTTCTCTAAATAAATAAACCATTAAAAAAAAAAACAAGGGAAATCCTTCTCAACTTGTTCTTCTTATAATTGTTTTTGCTATATTTGGACCTTCATTTCCATAGAGGTTTTAAAAAGGAAATCTTTTGAAAAAATGCAACATACATTCAAAAAAGTATGCAGATAATAAGCAAATGGTTTTTGTCACAGTATAATCACACGCGGGAGCTGTTTCTCAAAGGAGAATAGTCAACATTAGTAGAGAGCATGATTTTGTTCTAAAAGTCAAGGAATCTACCCTGTAATTCTTCTACTGCAACTTGCCATAACATTTTAATTTGCCCCATACTCTTCAAATACCGTCAGATCGTCTTGGTAATAAGGTACAAGGCAAAGAAGAGTTTTTGCAGCCTACAAAGTCTACAAAGACTTTTCTTGCTCTGGGACTTAACTCTTGCAACTGACAGCTCAATTAATGTGTAAGAGCAGCACATGAGAGTAAAGTTGTTCCTAAAATAGGTCCAATAAGGTCCAATAAGCATTGTGCCTCTTGGTGACATGTGGCACATTTGCCTCGTATTTTGAGATATTCTGTTATGCTTCAGACTACTAGACTGCTAAAACTTTTACCAAGATGGTAAGCCTTGATACTACATGGCTTTTATCTTTCCCTTGGACACATATGGGTTGTACCAAGGCATCTAAAGCTTCTTCATGCTCAGCAGGTCCAATCACCATGATGGAAATCATTGAGGTAGTAGATCTGATGTTCTGTGGGATGTCTGCATAGTAGATTATAATAGAAAGAAAGAGGGCTGCCTTAGTGCTATGGTGAGGCATAAAAGTATAGTGCTGACAGGTGAAGTCAGACTTCTGTCTGTCCTTGTAAAGTGCTCTGGAGAAAATAGTATTTGAGGAAAATCCAATAGTTGTGAATGAGGGGGCTGTGTCAATGTGGTTCAATAAAGGTTCCGCATGGTGAGTAACAACTGCAAATGGAGTCATAGTAACCTACAAACATTTTTTTAAGCTCTACCTTCTGCATAGGCAAAAGAGCAGAATCAGACAAGAATGGATCAGGTACTTTTTCTGAATCCTTCACATCATCCATGTATTTTTATATCTAATTTCTGTGGAATTGTTCTGTTTTTGTTTTATTTATCTATGTATTCATGTATGCTTGTATGTATGTATGTATGTATGTATGTATGTATGTATGTAGTTATATTTTCCGTTCTGGCAGACAGAGAAAGTTCAGGAGTTTCTATTTGGTCCTTCCTACCGTGATAGCCTTCAGCCCCCAATTTGTAAGGATGCTGTTAGTTGCTGACTAGGTCTATTCCAATTACACATTCAGGAACCAGAAATGAACATAGCTAAGGTCACAGATTAATTGGGGACCAAAATACTATTTATCACTTGATATCTATAAATTCTGCTTTTAACCAGTGGTCCACTGGGGCATTTTGAGATTCTAGGGATTAGTATTAACTTGGAGTCAGTGTCTGGTAATCTCAGAAAGTCTGGGATATCTCCCTCCTTCCAATATATTTCACTCTAGTAAATGGCTACAGGTCTTTTGAGGAACACTTGGAGTAAGATCTACTGTATTTGCTTGAGGCAGTCTTGTAGGATTCTTCTTCAAGAGACCCAGCCTCTTACTCTACATCAAAGAATTCTAGGTGTGTAAATTGGCTTAAGTCAGGAAACTGGATAAGAAGCTAAGATTCTCCATTGAAGTGTCTCAACTGTTTCAGGCCCCATAGTTAGAGCTTTTCTATAAAAAAACTCTAGCAACAATTTAGTAGATATCCTATCTATTTAACCTCAATGGAATCATGATCACCACAGAAAATCCATGTGGGTCAAAATTTTCAGATAGTCACTTTAATTCTTGCTGTTCACTGTGGTAATTCTAATTATATATTCAGTAAGTAGGTAAATAACTGTGGTGTGAGTCCTAGACAAAATGAGCCCATTATAATATGGGCTTCGACCTTGGCAGCAAACCAAAATACCATTTATCTATGGTATTGATGAGCACTGATTTTGACCAGTAGACCTTGTTTCTGGCAATTACATACCATGTCTTCTAACACTCTGGAATCCCATAAGAATCCCAAAATTTTAATGGCAGTATCTACTACCATCATCTTCAGCCTACAGAGGACAGCTACCAAAGACACTAATGCTCCCTTCATTGACGTATTTCTCAAGAAAGTGCCATCTGGCCCCTTTGGGAGGATATGGTAAAGGTGCATAATAGGCAGGTTACATAAGAGAAATCAACTTCAGCAACCTTATAAGCCTTTGGATTTCTTCCTCTATAGCATGCCAAGAAGATTCTGGCATCTCAATCTCATTGAATTATTTGGCCTTATTTGGGTCAAAGTTTCAGTTTACCTACCAAGGGAACTGTTAAAACCATTCTCAGATACTAAAAATATTACAGCTAAGTAAATCTTCTAAGTAAAACAGTATTGACAAGTTTGAGCCAATCCAAACTTACATCCATCTTTCTTAGTCTAAAAGTTTTGTACTCAATCCCCACACATATCCTCCAGGTTTTCGTTGTTATAAATGAAAAAACTTGCTATTCTCTTGGAGTACCAACAGTAACTTCTCAGTCCAGATTTGACTTGTCCTGATGGGACATGCTGAGA